ATATATATATATATATATATATATATATATATATTTGTAGACTATTGACTACAAAAATAATTGTAAATGATAAATATAGTAATTTACGAATAACAGTATATTTAAAAATAATAAGGGTTGTAAGAACAAATAAGAGAATATATCAAATATATTGTAGTGAAGATAGATAAAAACTGATATAAAACGACGGATACGAGAAATAATAAAATATTTCGATACATTAAATCAAAAATCTTTCAGATTGTTAAAAATATTGATATATATTAAAAGCATAGAAGCAGCATAAAATTAGCAAAAAAATAAAGACCGAGAAGACAAAGTATAAAAGTCTGAAATGAAATATCTAAAGAGAGGAATGAACAAGGAGATTCAATTCATTCAGTATATTAAATTGAAATAAATAAAAACATTTTTAGAAAAGGAACGAACGAAATTCCGTGATCGAAAAGTGCAAAAAAAAAACCAACAAAAATTTTCACAAAGAATCAATAGAAAGCAGAAGCTACTGTTGTCAGACAGTTTTACAACATTTGTACATAAATATCAAACTCACTACATCACGGTAAAACTATTTATACAACATTCTGTCAAATACCAGGATATTCACAAATTCCACTCGCTAAACACAGAAAACGAAACATTGAGAGAGACATAATTTCCGTGGTAATCCGTACCTGACGAGGTGGATCCGACAAAGCAGTCCTCAACCTTCGACTAGGCAGGACATCGGGCATAGGAGGAGGAACAGGTGGCTCCCCGTAAACCTCGTGAAGCTCCTCTAACCTAATACTCAACGCAGAACTCCTTCTGTTGGTCGCGTTCATCTTGTTCATCAACCATTTCGCCTGTTCCTCCAACCTCTTCAGCCTGTCTTCTCTAGCGGCTAAAGCTTCCTCGGGCGTTCTGCTTTTCACGGTGGAAACCATGTTCTCCTCCTGCGTCTTCACTGACTCGCCAGTTTCTGCTTCTGGCTTTCCAGTCACACCTGACGAACTGGACGAGCTGGTGTCAGCGGTAGAAAACTCTTGGACAGTCTCCAAGCTCGAGCTAGAGTCCACGGAGATGTTATCCGAATCCACGACGTTCTCCAACGATTTGTTGTTGGCTCCTCGCTTTTCTCTGCACTCCGAGACGAAGGGCGAAGAAGAAATTTGTCCGAAAACTGGAGCAAAAAATCGATTAGACGGGCCGACGATCAAAGGGTCTCTGAATTGGACGTTTTTCACGATCGAAGGTGCCACGTTGGACGGGGGGAAGGGTCCGATACTGAACACAGGCTGCGCGTTTGCTACGCTGGTCATACTGGGTACATAGGACGTGGACAATATCGAGGTGTCTTCGTTCTTTGCTTTCTCACCGTCCGTTTCGTTTGCACTTCGAGTTTCCTCCACTGTGACGGTCGACGAAGTACAGGTTTGTACTGTCGGAAGATTGAGAGTAGAAGTATCGTCGAAGTCCTCCATCGTGGTTTCTTGAGATTGCAGAGGCTTTGTCGACCAAGATTCGATGGTTGGTACCATGTTGTCTTTGTTGGTGACATTTATAGTGCTCTCAATGCTAATGAGATCCTGGATGACATTTGTTAGAGCCTGGTCCAGCGGATTTAACGATTCTTGTGGACTTTCTGGAAGCAACTGTTGAGAGAGAGAGAAAGAGAGATGAATATCGAAGAACTTCTGATTATTAGTGTCCAATTTTTCACACTAGAACTATAAAATCATTTGAAACAAATTGCGAAGAATAACGATTTATGGTACGATGAAGAACATACTTGAGTAAATTTCATTGATACGAATCTATAAAATTTCTACGAAAAATTACGAATTAATTAATTTAATGACTTCGATAGTCCTACGTAATATAAAACAATTGAGAGAGAAATTGAGGGAAGTTCGTAAAAAGAGAGAAATGTAATGGTTATTACTGGTGATTCTGCTACGTTCGTGGATTCAGTATTTAGAACCGCGTCCGCGACTTCATCTAGTTCTGCTTCAGTTTCTGGAGTAGGCGTTCGTTGCTCTAACGTTGCTGAGGAACCTGTCTTTGGCTCGGATAGCTCCGTGTCGGTTGGCTGTTCTGATTCTGTGTCTGGCGTTGGTGCTCGAGGACTCTCCTGAACAAATTTATAATACATAATATTCGTATATATAAAATATAATGTTGTATTATATTGTATCATATTAAATATTATAATTATAATAATACAATAAATAAATATTATATTGTAGTATTTATAAATATATTTTTATGACACGGAACACTAAACAGATTTTAATAAACATAAGTTAAAAGCAATCGAATAAATAGTAACCTTTCGCGACCTTCTGCGTAGGCCTAATCTAATTCTGTCGTCCATGGCGTCGTCTTCCTCGTCGGTATCATCTCCTCGTTCATCGCTGAATCCGCTCTCCGCGCTATATTGGAAGACAAGAGTTTTAGTGACACGAAGGTCAACAGTCAAGAACATCGACTTACCTATTGTTGAAAGAATCGTGAGAAGCGAGTGCTTTCCTAGCAGCGAACTCCCTTCTCAAGCTTCTCCACTCCAATTCCGTGTTCGTGTTCTTCTGCCTGGCGGACTCCCACTTCTCGCGACAGTACTCCAACTCCTGTTTCAGTTCCTGCAACATTTTTCGCTTCTGCTGCAACTCGTATCGCAGGATCTTCTCGTGCGTGTGCAGCTGATGATGCTGGGCCTGCATTCGATCGACTATCGTCCATGTTTTACTCAATTCCGCTGACACTGCCGACAGTCGCTTCTCCTGGAAATGAACGCGCATTTCCTTATTAAAAATAAAACAAATGGAACGATGAAGGAAATAAATTGTGAAATGAATTTAATATATTTGAGACAAAGTTGAAATTGAGGATGAAAGTGAATTATGCTTTCTACCTGTTCGCCAAGTTTGCATTCCAAGTGGACGTTCAGCTGTTTCATCCGGTTCATTTCCTTCTCCAAGTGTTTCTTTTCTAATATCAACTCTTTCAGGCGGATGTACGTTTTGCTGACCGAGATCACTAGTCTGGGACCGGCTGGTGTGTCGACCGATTTGTAACAGATATTTGGGTCCGAGGAGGACGCCGCTGAAGCGGACGGAGTATATTCTGCGTGACAACTAAGCAACTCCAGCAAGACACGCCATACCTAGAACGAAAAAGGAGATGTCTGATTGGATGATGGCGAGAGAAGAAAGCAGAAACAATATTAAATTTAGTTTTACAGATCTTACTTTAGGTAAGTTGTGAGCTATGTCCTCTTGCTGCAAGTCGTCTTCCTTCTTCTCTGTTTCAGCCTCGGTTCCATTTCCCTCGTCGCCGTGTTTCTGTGACGTTTTACTGCCCTCGACTTGCTCGATCAGGTCGAGAAGAAGCTTGGGAAGCGCAGCGGCTTCGGTGCCTTCCTCTCTCGCCATGTCGCATATCAGGTCGTGATTCTCCTGTTAAAACACCATCGCGAACAGCATTAATGTATTTCTCTTTAATCTTTCATGAATCCAAAGTACCAATAAAAATATCCTCGTTATTTCAACGACGGAACGAAATTTTCCAATACCTGAAGTAACTGAGTCAATCGATCGAGATCCATGTCGGCAGAGGTGGCACCCAACAGCATCTGTGTAAACAGGCTATTGATCAGCGACATCTGATTCTGCAGATCCCTGCAGTCCGCTTTGGTGAGTCCCAGCTGAGATTCCAAATTCGTTATTTCCGTGTCCTGCGCGTCGACCTGTTCCAAGTGGAAAGAGAAAGGTACATATTTGAAACAAACACGTGAAAATCTGGCATCGATACCTGCGTACAGGTTAGTCCACCAAATTTTTTTGTTTCTTCTAGACTAACAAATTTTTTTCAGAAAACCGAGATTTAGAAAAGTTTGAAATGTGAAAATTCTGCAAATTCGCGTTACATAAAATAAATAAATATATATACATATATATATACGTAATCTTTTTAAATAAAATAAAATTTACACTTAATGACCTTCTCGTCAGCCTTTTTTAGATCCTCCTCCAAGCATTCGCATTTTTTCAACGAGTGATCCAGTCTCACTCTAGCCTCCGCTAGCTCTCTGGCCGCCGTCTCCCTCACTTCGTTCAGCACCTTCAGCCTCTCGTTGTAAAGGCTCTTCAGGCTATTGATATTCTCCAGCTGACGTTCGCACTCCAGGCTAACCTCGTCCTTCGCTTCTAGGAAGCTTCTGTCCCCAAGTCGTACCAGAATCTGCGCTAGATGGTCCTTCAGCTCGTTGGTAGCACGTTCCCTGAAGTAAACGGCCTCTCGTGTCCGGTTGGTTACGTCCGACAAGCAACGAATGCGGTACCGATGCTGATCCGGTTCGACCTCCAAACTGTACCGGAGATCGTCCACCTTGTCCATTTGAATGCGGATGTCGTTCCGCAGCTCGTCGGATATCTGAAATTTTTACATTTTTACGTTTTAGTTTTTTCAACAATTACGCAGGTAAGACTACTTGCGGAATTTTTTTTCTTTTTAATTTCAATTGTAATGTTTACTGGAAATAATGGTGGATTTGGATGATTTTTATTTTTTTGTTTTTTTTAATATTAACGAGATTCTCAAATTTATTTTAATCAAATTTTTCAGAAACGATCGTTGAAGTAATTTATTCTTAGTAATGTCTGTAGAAATTCGTAAATAATCTTGCAAAATTTTGGAAATGATCTAATAAGTAAGTAAGGGTTTGATTAACTGGAAATAGAGATTTGTAGAAGAACGTTCGAGAGATTTACCTTCAAAACGCTCGTTAGTCGTTGTGCCTCCAAACGTTGCGCAGCCAACTCGTGTCCATTTGGTTTCTGATCTTTCTCTCTAGTCTTCTTCAAGCTATCGTCAGCCGCGTTTGTTCGAGCTTGAGCGTCATTCTGCGCGGATCTCAGCAGCTCCAACATCCTCGAAGTTTCCGAATGAGCCTCCTTCTCCGCGTCTAATTCACGTCTGAGTCGCTCCATTTCCGACGAAACCGCCGCTATCGCTCTTTGTCTCGCCTCCCTCTTCAGGATTAATTCCTTCTTGAATTCCTCGATGTTCGCCGACGTGCGATCGGCAGGCGGGCTTTCTTGCGGATCGTCTGTCGATTCGCTCGCGTCTGCTCGAAACGAAACGAACGTTCAACAAATATAAATACCTTCTGCTTTTTTTTTTATTAGAATCTCTCAATTCTTGTTTTCCCGAATTTTGGAATTTTAGAACTTTGGGAATTTGGTGATTTAAAAATTTGGAAATTTGGAAATTAGAAACTCTGGAAAAGTTGAGAACTTTGAAACTTTGGAACTTTGGAATGCTGGAATTTTGGAACTTTTACAATCGAACGTACCAACATCTTCTTTCAAGTCATCGCCATCTGTACTTTTCCTCTCAGTCTTGATAGTCTCCTTCAGTCTTTGAATCTCGTCCTCGAGGGCCTTTATCTGTTTCTTCTTGTCGGACACTTCCTCCGACAGCTGCGCCTTTAATTCCAAAGTCTTCTGGCTCTCGGTGTTTATGATTTCCTCCTTTTCCAACAACGACTTCTGCAAATCTTGCTCGAGGCTGGAGATCTTCGCTTCGGCAGTGTTCTTCAACGCGCTGAACTCGTCCATTTGCTTCAATAGTCTCTCCGTTTCCTTCGCCGCAAAGCCGAACTTTGTCATCAACTTTTCGTATTCCTCTCTCCGCTCTTTCAAACTCGACTCCGCCTCCTCGTGTCGCGATTGCGACTCCTGGGAAATCAGAGAAGTCAAAATTTTCATTATTTCAATAGCCAAGATTTTTAGTCAATATAACTGTGATTACTATTTTACTATTCACCAGTGTCTCTCTATAAGTGTCTAACTATATTTTCCAATAACAAGACAATAGTTTGGAATTCAAATTCGAAACTTTACAGAAAATTTCAGCTTGGAATTTTTATTCTCTTAAAAAACTGTTTAACAAGAATCTATTAATTTCCAATCAATAAGATATGTAGCAATCATATGTATAAAAGACATGAATTACAAGGGGGAAATAAGATACGCAAACTCACTTCGCAATCTTTCCTCAGTTTCCTCACCATCGCCTTCTCTTCCGTCAACTCTTTCGCTAGCCTATCGTTTTCACGTTGATACTCAGATCGCTCGTGTTTCAATCTTTCAACTTCCTCCAACAATCTCACCACTTCTTTTTCGTTATTCAAAGCCTCCTTCGTTTCATCCTTTATTCTACTTTCTCTCGACTTCTCTAAATGCAAATTTGCCACGGGACGGTCCTCCACGTTCCACCTGCAGCCCCCGACGTCATCCTCGACGTTCACGAAGCTTACTCTAGAAACAGTCTTTGCTCGAGCCTCGTCCATCGTGGTCTGTCCTTTAAATTCGCGTTCAGGTACGTCGATGTTGCTCGCAAGCCTATCACACGGATCGTCGATCGTCCACCGACGATCTGAGTCTCGGATCTTCTTCAAATCACAGACATTCGTCGAACTCTGTCGTTCGTCTTCTCCTTGGTTCGTCTTCTCTAGCCTCTCTATCCTCGATCGAACCTTGCTCAAAACATTTTCCAATCTATCAATCCTAAATTCCATTCTTCGCCTCTCTTCACCATCATCATCATCATCATCTTCTTCTCCTCCTTCTCCCTCTTCTTCTTCTCTTCTTTCCTCGTTCGTCGTCAGTCTTTTCTTCAAGGCCTCGTCCATCGATTCTTCAGACGATGCCACTCGCCTCCTCAGTTTCTTTTCCCTCGACAGTTCCATGTAAAGCGCCTCCAAATTCGCCAAGGTCGCGGTGTTCGCGGTAGCTAGCTGCTGATTGGCCATAGCCAGCTGCGAGATCACCTCCATAGCCTTCTGGTTCTGTTGAACGAACGAAGAAGGGCCATGCCCCTCGGCCGTCTGCCAACCTGTCATCTGCGCGGCGTACGTCAACTGCAATATAAATAAATTGAACTAATTTCAGAGGCGCTAATTGAACCGAGACGATCGACGATCGGAATTCTGGTTCAAGGAATGGTTACGTGGACCGGTCTCGGGTCTCGGGTCTCGTTCTTAGCACTGCGATCTACGGACTTGCGGGTCACGTTACGCGGACTCCAATCGAGACTCCAATCGATTGTTTAGAAACTTGCTTCTTTTTCTAGGATCTTGGCGAAATTTGGAAATTTTAGGAACTTTTTTAAGAACTTTCCTCTTTGGAAGGAGAAAACATAATAACAGATTTAGAATTCTTCTTGGACCTTGGTGAAACAAAGAACTCGTTAGAAAGAAGAAAGGATATAAAATTTATAGCGTATTACTCTTACAAAATATATATTTTATAATACATTTTACGATATATCGCTCTTAATATATTTTAAAAATCGTCCCATTGAATAACGACGTTTTCTAATATAACAAAATAATTGCCCGTTTAATATTATTTCTATAGCTGTGTCAGTTAAATTTTTAAGATTCGTCCATAAGATATTTCATAAATTATAATGTAATTGATCTGTTAAGTCATGGACGAATTCTAAGAGTTCAATTGACATTGATTGAGAAATAATATTACAAAGAATAGTAATATTGAGGAATAACGATACAACTCTGTGTAACCAACCAAAATTCTAATATCTACTCAATCAAAAATCTTTTCTTCAAAAACACTCCAAGTGAATCATAAAACATATTCACGAACAGAAGGAACAGCAGATTCTACCCTCTGTAAAAAACTTACTTACGCGTAAACAGTAGACAACAAATGCCAAGAGAGTATCGAGTAGTCTCGCTAAAATCCTGAAACTTCTCGGAAGTTCGCGTATCCATGCAGTCGAGAAGGACCGGATCGATCGTTGGCGAGCTTCGCACAAACGCCTCGATCCGCGTCGAACGATCTACGAGGATGAACTGGCACGAGGGATAGAGCGTTCGCCGAAGAAGCTCGAGACACGGGGGCACGTGATCGCGATCGATGACTGCGAACTCGCGAAGCTACAGTGGCCGTGACTCAGCGTGTTCTCCCGAAATCCGTGAGGTGCCACGAAGCTTCTTGGAGGCACGCCAGATTTCCCGCCCCGAACAAAAGAGAGCGCGCCCCTCTCGGGAAATTTCTCGCCGTTATCTACCTACGTCGTCGACGACGCCTCGAAACAAAAGACTTTCGTGTTTTTCCCCGAGCCAATGAAATCGCTACCGTCTTTCATAGTGTTTATAGCTCAAAAGGAAATCTTTATTTTGGAACTCTATCTGTTAATTTCGTGAAAAGCTTCAGACGTTTGATCTCTGTAGACCTTTGTAATCGGGGGATTAACTCCGAATAATTCACGTTTTTTTTTTTTTCTTTAATTTTTCTTTAATTCAAGATTATGTTTAGGACTTTCAATCAAACGTGCACTGGTCTGCGTCGAGAATTAGTGTTTTTAATAGCGAGTGATGCAAGAAGTATTACTGTATCTCGAAGATCTTCTTTCACGTTCAAGACAATCGGATTCCCTGAATCATACTGTCGGAGATAAATGTTGAGTCGTAGAACAGGTAAATATTGGGAATAAAAAAAAGTATGGGCACTGGACGTGTGTGCATTTCTTCATTGGTAAGAGAACACTTAGAATAAGACGAATTTGAAAAATTGTTCGACAAATTCCCAATGCAGTTCCCTCTAGTCACACTACGATTCTCAGTACATCACACATCTCTACAAAATTTAACTGTCAATTTTCTCTCAGTCGTTCGTTCGTGTTCGCTTAAAGAACAAAGAGAAAAGTCTTCGCTTACCAAACTCTCTCGTCGCAAGTCTCGAGAACGCAAGTTCGACAGACTCGGCGCTGTCGGTCTTTGACACCATTGTTCCTCGCCTGTGAAAGTCGCGTAAGGACTTGGACCCTGCAACATTCCATGGAATTAAAATAAAAACCGATATATAACCGGCGGTGCAGAGCGGTTTTCTCGTCGGCTGGTCTCGTCTCGATGTTTGCCCGCTAGCTATAACGATAAATATTCGTTTTATATTTAACCTGCGATCGAGGTTCTTCACCCACGTCGAACGCGCTGGTCCTCGTCCTTTGTCGTATATTTTCGTTCGCGTATTCTGGACAGCAGGATCCCTCTGTCCCGTAGACGAACGTCCCCTCGCTTCGCCCCCTCAACGCTGTCGTCGAGGATGGTGCGCTGTTACTACTGCCAGCCGCGCCCATACTACACTTGCTCCACTAGCGAGCGCTAATCTCTTCGTTGACGTTCGCGATTTATGGGGATTTTGCTCGATCTGGCTGGAGATCGTGAGGTATCTGAAAAACGTGTTTTAAATCATTGTGCAAATTGTAATTTTTATATATGTAATATTATATTATTTCGTATACGTATTAACGTATACGAAATTTCGAATATTATTTCGTATACGTATTAACGTATACGTATGTTAATATGTAAATAAAAATGTATAAATAAATATTTGCATATTAATGTGTAATTATAATTACATATTTATTACATATATTTGTAATTATAATTATATATTAATATACAAATAATTATATTTACATATTA